AGTTTGATGGTTCTGATGATAAATATGATGATGAACAAAACTGTTTGAAAGGTGTTTGATCTATTTCGATATATTTCTCATCAAACTCTCTATGCATGTACCCTTGTACCAAAATAACCATTCCTCCTGATTTATACATAGGCAGATACAATGAATCAAAAACACTAATACAAAATTACCTAACAGAAGAATTCCGTTTTGATCTGACTTCCAGGAATTATTCAGAATTAAGGAGACATGTTCCTTGCTCTTTATTCTGGGTTCCAGTGAAGTTGGAAAGACTCAGATAAAATAACAACTGAAGAAATAAATTAAATTCTTTTATTCAGCACTGTGCCCACACTAGATGTGCATGATATTTGTGGAATTGGTGTGTACTAAATTACTGGTACAAACTGATAAATTAGAGAGGTAGGAGAAGAACTGAAATGATGTACTCCCAGGAAGCAGAAAAGGAATGTGCAGAGTGAGGGTAAAGATAGAGACAGTCAGATCTGGCAATTAACTGATTTACTGATAAACTTCAAGAGAGTAGATAAAAAGCAAGTCTGTGGGACAGCTAAATTTCTGCAAAGGCCCTTGTTGAGCAGAGCTCATTTCTGGGGCTGATTGCGTGTTCCATTAACAGGTGCCTCCCCTGGGCTCAGATTTTCATCTGAAGGCAAAATCTTCTCTTCTCCTTGTTTTGACTGTTTAAATGGCTTGCAGCATTGGTTTCGAAGTAATTCTTTACAAAAATTTCCTTTCTCTGCCTCCATCTATAAACTCTCCCAGCAAAATCACCATTTTTAGTGGCAGCTATTTCAAGGTTTTATTGCACAGTCATAAAAAGTGTCATGATATGGAACACTAAAATGACTGTGGTAAATGTGTGGTAATTATATTTCATTGAAATTCCTAGTATGCTTGCCACTAAGAAGATTTTCGAAGCCTCTAGCTAATTACTTCATCTAATAGGGTCTGTAACTCTTTCAGAGGGTCCATGGTAGAGAAAGTAATTGACACTTGTCAGTGACTCTTGCTTTACCCCAGGTAGGTGTGTAAAAATATGTATACCTAGAGTGTATATGGATGTACGTGTGTGCATGTGTGCACAAATACACACATATATGTGTATTTGATTTTGTGTGATACCTCATCCACACCAGAGACACTGCCAGACAACTAGTGTGGTTAAATTCCTCTTCAGGAAAAAAAAAAAAAAAAACTCTCTTTCCCTTGATCTCTATCCTCACAGGAAATCAACCAGGAATTTGGCTAATGGGAAAATGTAAGTTAGATTCCAAATACACTAAGTTGCTAAAAATTCTGCCTATGTCTTTGGGTTCCATAAGAATCTACTTACACCATCATTTTTTCTGGGCCAATGAGAAAAAAGCAGGTTTTCTGTTTTGTTTTTTGGGTTTTTTTTGGTACTGGAGATTGATTGAATCCAGGGGTGCTTGACCGCTGAACTGCATCCCCAGCCCTTTTTATATTTTATTTAGATACAGAGTCTCACTGAGTTGCTTTAGGACCTTACTAAGTTGCTGAGGATGACTTTGAACTCACGATCCTCCTGTGTCAGCCTCCGAGCCACTGGGATTACAGGTGTACACCACCGTGCCCGACTAAAAAAGCAAATTTTAAAATAGATTTGGTGATGACAATTCAGAAAGAAAGAAAAGAAAAAGAAAAGAATTTACTATAATTGTGTGATATAAAAATTAATACTTGAAGCAAGGTGCCTGTAATCCCAGCATCTTAGAGAGCCGAGGCTGGAGGATCACAAGTTCAAAGCCAGCCTTGGCAACTTAGGGAAGCCCTAAGCAATTCAGTGAGAACTTGTCTCTAAATAAAAATATTCCTAAAAAGGGTTGAGGATGTGATTCAGCAGTTAAGCACCCCTGGGTTCAATCCCCAGTACTGAAAAAGAAATTTAACATTTGGCCAGGAATAATGGTGCACTCCTGTAGTCTCAACTACTAGCAAAGTAGGATGGGAAAACAGCTTGAACCAGGAATTCATAACCAGCCTGGGCAATAAAGCATGATCTATCTCAAAATAATAATAATAATAATAATAATACCAAAGTCAGTGTCATTTGCAACCACAAACAGACCATTATTTATTCAAAAATAAAATTGGTTCCATTTTTCAGATAGAAGGTAGAGTGCTTCTTAAGCACCTATTTGCCTATGGGTTTGAATGCACTGGCCACTTCTTTTGCTATTGGAGGTATCAAGTAATCAACTCTTACTTTTTAAATGCTAGAGGTAGATACCTGGTAGATGGAGAAGTCTCAAGTCATTTGGATTTAAGAGATATAGATACCTTCAAGCACTACTAATTCCCAATTTTTTGGAGCTATGAAAAGTTATTTATTTTGCAACACTTTTCACCAGCAAGAATCCTATATGGAATATAGCTATTTTTTAGTGTAGTTGTCTCTCAGTTTCTGAAAACTTTTTGAGAATTTCACAGCATCTTCTGGAGCTAATTGGACATAACTGTGAGGGTCACTCTCCCAGGCCTGGAAATCCAGGGTCTCCAGCAGAACCTGGCAACAGGTCACATGTAGTTTTCCACCAAGTGTAAGTCACCTGTCAATAACCGTGGAGAGAGAAAGGGGAAAACTGGTTATTCTTAAGTAGAGCACTTGTCCTGAAGGATTGATGCGCTGGTTGTATTTAATAATCCAACTGGAGTCATTTTCTGACCCAATTACATCAGTACATTTCTAGACACACCTTTCTTTGCACGAGCCGCACCCGTAGATACCTACATCCTCCTCAAAGACTCATGCATCTGAGCTGTTCTGAAATATATCCCTCCTTCCTTCCCAATGGACTCCAGATGCAAAGAGGACCCAATTGCTAATGTATAGCAGGGGCTCTTAACCCCAACTGCACATAATAATCACCTGGAGAGCTTCTGAAAATTCCAAGGTCCAGCCAAGTTTGAGAACTCCACATGTGACCTACCTCCCTTGGGCCTGATCAAGTTAACTTCACATTATTTTTAGTTAAGTCTTCTCTAAATCCTTAGACTATTCTTGTTTGTTTCCTTTTCATGAGTCGATTAATAGGTTGCCTTGATTCTCTCACAGAAGATGCTAAACATTCAAGACATTCTAGCCAAGGTCGGATGTGGTGATGCATGCCTGTAATCCCAGATACTAGGGACGCTGAGGCAAGAGGATTTCAAGTTCAAAGCCAGCCTCAGCAACTTAGTGAGGCCCTAGGTAACTTAGCAAGACCCTGTCTGAAAATAAAAAATAAAAAGGTCTGCACCCCTGGGTTTAATCCATGGTAGTAAAATAAATAAATAAATAAATAAAACATTCTAGCCAACCCACAAATAAAAGTATACTTTAAAATGGTTTGAAACAAACAAATAACAGCAAGCGTATAAAGGGCTAAAACAAAATCATAGAATGAGCTATATCTATCTGGTGTCTGGGAAGTGTCCAGTAGAAGTATCAAAGCAGCCCGGAGTTGCATTTCTTCAATGAAATTCCCTTAACAGAAAATGAAGAGTGACTCTAGATCTCTAGTTCATCATGATACTTCTGTGTACAGGTTTCATTCACCTGCTTCCAAAGCCTTCTGGGACCCTTGGCCAATCTCAACTTGGCATTAGTATATTTTTTGCAACTAAGATATTACTCCCAATGTGATATGGACACAATGAGGGGATAGATAGGAGATCATTTTAAATGGTGCATGAAAGAAATCTTTTTAAAAATATTTATTATTTAACAGATTTGGAAATATATAAGTGGCACAACACATAATTTTGTAGATATTATTGTGTTGGCCACAATTTAGAAATATGTGCATTTCAAGTTATCAATACATAGAGGCACATAGGTGATATTCATAAATAGGGGGAAAAAGATAAAAAGTTTGATAATGCTCCATTTGTCAGTACTTTCACCAACTTTGGTCAACTTCTAGTTGAGGTTGTATTCTTCCTGACTCCCAAGTTAATACATGAGGGAGGAGAAGGGGTGGGGGGTACAAGTAAAAAGAAGTTATTAAGTCCTTCCCCCCGCCACCGGGATTGAACTCAGAGGTGCTTAACCACTAAGCCACATCTGTTTTTATATTTTATTTGGGGACAGGTCTTGGTGAGTTGCATAGGGCCTCCCCAAGTTGTTGAGGCTGGATTTGAACTTGCGATCCTTCTGCCTCAGCCTCCTAAACCACTGGGATTACAGGCGTGCCCACCAGGCCCAGTTTAAGTCTTTAAATGTAGAGAATCCCATGAAATGACCTCCCCCACTCCGAGGGTGAAGGGCTATTTTTTCAACCAGTTACTCAGGAAGTGTTGGGGACACTGAGCCCTGAAGCAGTGTCATACTTATTTAGAAATGAACCTATAGCATCTGCAGCAGGCTTGATAAGTAGCTCCAAGTAGAAACCCAGGGCAAGTTCCCATGTGTACCCACTTCTCCTAGCAGTGATTCACAGGGTGTGCAGGATTTGTAGTAAGATAAGATGAAAGGCAACCTGGCCAGTTTGCCAGCACCTGGGATGTTCTCTGATTAAACCCATTTCTGTCTTCCTCATGTGCCACCCTTCCCTGTCTAGTGTTAGAAATTCAGGGCCAGAGAACAAAGCAGCCAGGTTTGTTTTTCCAGAGCAAGAGGGGTCTGGCGAAAAACAGCCCTGACAGCTGTGCCTGGGTCTTGGTGAAGGAAGGGCTTTCACGTGTTTCTTCCAAGACTGTTTAGTCTGCATGCTGAGGATTCATATATCAGTTTTTGGCTCTCGTGTCATTGGGGTAGTTCTGATTTGCATTGATTTCGTCGTCATCTGTATTTGCCTACAATGAAAGAAGTGTAGCTTAGAACGGAGTTATTGCAGGGTCACTTAAAATTTGGCGTTCTTCATTCATTCTCACAGCATTGACAGTGCTTCTTTAAAAGGGTGGGTGGGCGCACTCCTAAGGCTGCAGTCCTTAATAAATAACACCTGGATCTGAATCCTCAACTCCTCTCCCGTTGGCTTTTGCAGAAATGGCAGTGCATTGAGGACACATCTGGGAAGCTTCGAATTCACAAGTGTAAAGGGCCCAGTGACCTGCTCACCGTCCGGCAGAGCACGCGGAACCTCTACTCTCGAGGCTTCCATGATAAGGACAAAGAGTGCAGTTGCAGGGAATCTGGTTACCGCGCCAGCAGAAGCCAGAGGAAGAGTCAGAGGCAGTTCCTGAGAAACCAGGGGACTCCAAGTAAGACAAACGTTTGTGACCACCACAATGGCGGGCCACGGCCTTAGATAAAAGTTCCCCTTTCCACATTTCAGATATTATCAATGCACAGTTCTCAGACCAAAAGAAAATCATTGTTCTGTTTCAAATAAGAAAGCTAATATTAAATTGAGATTTCACTCTCTAAATATTCCCACGTAAGCATAGAATGAAAATAGGTTTAGTAAAAACACCAAAAGCAAGACTTACGTACAAATAAAAACTATAAAATGGTTATTCCAAAGGGTGAAGTATAAGGTTTAGGTCCATTTTATTTTACTTCCATGCTAATGTCCTGATTTGTCTGCCTTAAGTTGCTTTAAACAATAATCCAAGGCATCAATGCATATGCATTTCCGAGGAAAAGCATAAACACCTTTTTTTCTTTTTTTTAGGGCATATATTTTAATCTGTTATGGGACAAAATATATATTTTTTTTAGATTTTGTCAACTTATTGGATATTGTTAACTGACAGGGTCAAACTAGTTGAATTTGGTGTGAAATGTATGACCTGGAATTCTATTTATAAAAATTATCGGGCCACTTTGGGATACCTATCATTATTATAAATATGAAAACCAGCCGGCCAGCACTTTCAGTAGAAGAATGAGAGTCTGGCGCCATCTAGTGGAATAATGGGAAAAGTGGCTCACTTCTGTGGTTTCTATACTCCTTTGGAAATAAGAAACATGAATTCTGTGGCCAAGATCTGGAAATCCACTCATGAGAAAAATATATGCCCTTAAAATGATGTTTTTATCTTGGACGAGAGGTTTTAGGGTTATGAACCCTAGATCATTCATCCAAAATCATGAGTGTGTTCTTTATATATGTGCATATTTTTCTCAAAGTCGATTAACTTTCAACAAATTCTTAAAAGAATACATAACCCAAAAAGCTAAGAAGATTTTTCTTCTTCCTGAGGGAATATTCCAGTCTCAAATCATTCGCATAATGCTATCAAATTCAAAATCAGAATTGGAGGTGTAGCTTAGTGGTTTGCCTGATAGATAGAAAGCCCTCTTCCAATCCCCAGCACCAAAAAAAAAAAGAAAGAAAGAAAAAAAAAGAAATTAAAAACCAACAAGGGACAAGGTCTCCTGACACTCTCCTTGGGGAACAAAACTGAATCACAAAAGTTTATCTTAGAAGCAGAGTCATTCCTTCTCTTTAGAAAGTTAGAGATCACACATATTTTTCCACGTCGGGCACAAGCTGTTTCAATTGCATGGAATATCGTGTGTTTGAGAGCAGAAGTGAGTTTTTTCTTTTTTCTACAATAGTAGAACTTGTGGGCATGCCCTGTGACCCGCTATCATGAAGGTCCACCACTCAACTGAACAGGGCAAAGTCCTACAAGAGCTGTCTTAGAGCATAGAGATTCTGATTCCTCGTCCGATCTGCCCCCTTCTTTTTATTTTAGCATCAGGTTGGAGAGATAAGGCCAGAGGAGTGTACCCACAGAGTCTAAGTGCATCTGGTAAATAGGGGACAATGTTTGCACATTAAAGTTCTTAGCTGGGTGGGACCCAATGAGCAATTAGTAACATTCCATGGTCACCAGAAAACATGCTGGCCTCTGCCTTACCTTACCCTCCATTTGCTAGATATGGAAAGTCACTTGGCTGACACGAGCAAAATTTAATTATTTTTTAAACATATCTTTCCCTATTTGTGCAAATACAAGATATCTAGAACATTCAGCTTTTTAAAAAAAGCAGCCCGAAGTAATAGTAAAACCATAGCCTGAGAGGTTCTAGTCCTAACTCCCACTGCCTTGCAGAATCTATGTGATGGTCAAAGCTTCAGTTCTCTCATTCATAAAATAAGGATGATAACACCAACCCCACGAGCTTGTTTTGACAATCTTAATAAGGATTATAGATTCAAGATAAATAAAAGGTCTACAAAACATAGCAAAAGCTCAGTACATATTTGGGGTGAGGGTAACTGGGGATTGAACCCAGGGGGATTTTACCACTAGCTACAGCACTATTCCTTTTTATTTTTTTATGTTGAGTCAGGGTCTCTCTAAGTTGCTGAGTCAGCCCTGAACTTCCAATCCTCTGCCTCAGCCTCCTGAGTCTCATTTCCGTCATTGGAAATATAGTTTTATCCAAACGTCTTAGTGGTTCATGTTGAGAACTAAGTGTGAAAGTGCACAACCTGCCATCAGTGGAAAGAACCTTGGAGTTCACCTAGGTTCGTCCCCTCAGGTGAGACTCCCATGAGATGACCATGAGGTGGCATTGCCAGAGCCCCGCGATGCCCCAGAGCAGAGCAGCCTGAACTCCTTGACCCTCTCCAAGGCCCTCACAGTGCCGGTGATCATTTTCTTCCTTCCTAAACTGCATCAGATCATCCATATTAACCTCACTTCCCTCATTTGCAGAGTACAAGCCCCGATTTGTCCATACCCGGCAGACACGCTCCTTGTCTGTTGAATTTGAAGGAGAAATATATGACATAAATCTGGAAGAGGAAGAATTGCAAGTGTTGCAGCCAAGGAGCATTGCCAAGCGTCACGATGAAGGCCACAGGGGGTTGGGAGGCCGCCAGGCTGCCGGCGGTGGCAACGGGGATGAACTGCTGGCAGACAGCAGCAATGCCGTGGGCCTACCAACCACTGTCCGTGTGACACACAAGTAAGAAGGTTTAGGTGTTCTCTAGGTTTCAGATCAAAGTGGCCCCCTGCCCCAGATCATCACCGCTCGCACTTTGTAAAAGGTAGTATCAACTTGGCTTTGGAGAGGCAGGCCAAGGCCTGGCCTCCAGGACACCTGGGGGGTTAAGGAAGCCACAAGGGGTGTGCTTTGTGTTCAATTTCTCATTAACGCTAATCAACTGGGAATCCAGCCAGGGTGATTCTGCACATCTTGACTTAGCAGGCCTGGGGTTCCTGCCCCTAAGCACTTACCCTTTAGTAGGCAGCAAGAAGCAGATGGAAATGGTTATAGGAGCTGGTAGAGGCTCTTTCACATGCATGGTCACTGTCCCTTAGAGCATTGTAAAGTCACAGCCTCAGAAACAAAACACAGGGATCACAAAGAAGCTCTAGAAAACTGGTGTCGTTTGGGGATGGGTGTAAGTTGCAGAAAACGCCTGACCTGACTCAGATCATAAAAGCAGACAGGCAAGCGAAATGACTCCCCTGTGGCTTTCAAGGACTCACGTGGTCTTTGGTTCCTCCCCAGATCAACTTACTCTCTTGATAAAGAAATGTTTTCTTTCTGACATTATTAGCAAGACATTTGTTTTTTTTTCTAATGTCATCACTTTGGGAACATGGGGTACTGTGAGTTCTGCCACGGTTTTTATCTCTGGGACTGGTCTCCAGGCACTTGGTAGTTGTTAGAATTACATGCTAAGAGATTTAGGCCAGGGTTTGTTTCTCTGACAGCAGAGATTGACCCGTATCCCACCTACTTTCTCTCTCTCCCTAACACTTTTTCTTTGCTTCAAAGTTAATGGAGGAGCAAGGAGTCCCTAGTACTAGGGCGGGGGGGTGGGGGGAGAAAACTTGACAGAGTACTTAAGACAAGCTCTTTTTAGACAAATGAATGAAACAGAATGGTTATTCCCATTTTTATTCTGCATTTCTTCAAATAAGCCGTCTGCATTATGGTTGTGGATACCTCCTTTACTTTTCTATGTGCATTTGCTCAGGCTTTCAAAGCTTGGATTTAGGGTGGAAACAATTCATGGGTTCATAATGCAAGCTGCCTCCCCAGGTGATCTCAAGGATGATCTTAGTCACAGAGAGGTGACACTCTCCTTTGCCGGAACAGTAGCCGGGGACACATTCTCATTTACCCTTGTCTAGGGATCAGCTCCAATCTCGCTGCTTCTACCTACTAGTAAAGGGTTTTGAGGATAATAAGGTCTCTTTGCTGTCTATCCCTTGTGTTTTTTAATATTAGAATATAAACTTATTTCTCATGTTTTTATTTTTGTTGTTGTTGTTATCGGTTTTTGCAGGTGTTTTATTCTTCCAAATGATACAATCCATTGTGAGAGAGAACTGTATCAGTCAGCCAGAGCCTGGAAGGATCATAAGGCATACATTGATAAAGAGGTCAGCCTGATGTCCTTGTAAGGTTATTCCAAGTCCAGATCATGCATGGTGGTGCACGCCTATAATCTTAGAGGCTGAGGCAGGAATATTGCCAGGTCAAGGCTAGCCTGGGCAACGTAAAGAGACTATCTCAAAATGTAAAAATTTAAAAGAAGATCTGGAGATATAGCTCAGTGGTCAAGGACCCCTGAGTTCCATCCCCTTACCAGAAAAGTAAATAAAATATAGACAGATTCAGTTTGCCAGAATCTGGCAGGATGGGACATAACCACTGTATGCATCACCTTTTTTTATAATTCCATGAAAAATAGAAAACTGGTCAAAGTATTTATAATTCTCCTGTGGGTTTAGTGATAGTCCTGCTGAAAACAAAGCAGGGTGTGAGAAGAGAATGTGGATTGACTCAATGATATTTTGACCATCTGTTCAACAAAAGGATTCAGTAATAAAAGCAGCACCTGTTAATGTTTATCCATTACACTTCAGCTGGAATACAGAGATAGATGTATTCTATGCCTTGTTTGTTTTTAAATTAATTGCCATCTTGAATAGTTATAACTAGGGAACACCGTAAACAGGATGAAAAGAAAAAGTATTTTGGAAAGAAAATCCTGAGGTTGCCAGGAACGGTTGCACACATCTGCAATCCCAGCAGCCCAAGAGGCTAAGGTGGGAAGATAATAAGTTCAAAGCCAGCCTCAGCAACTTAGGGAGATCCTGTCTCTAAACAAAAAATAAAAAGGGCAGGGGGGTGTGGCTCAGTGATTAAGCACCCCTGAGTTCAAACCCTGGTACAAAAAAAAAAAGAGAGAGAGAGAGAGAAAGAGTGGGGGCAGAAAAAAAGAAAGATCCTGATGTTAAAATGTAATGATTTGAATACGTTTTTCCAGATTGAAGTTCTGCAAGATAAAATTAAGAATTTGAGAGAAGTGAGGGGACACCTAAAGAGAAGAAAGCCTGAGGAATGTAGCTGCAGTAAGCAGAGGTGAGCATGTACCCATCCCTTGGTCTGCTTTCTACACCCATTTTTACACAGCTAGAGTGGTGAGCAGGAGGCTCATTTCTCTTTTCCCAACACCAAGCTTCGTATGACTGCATTAACATAAAGTATTATGACCTCACCTATTTAAGTCAAGTATGCCATGAATTTTAAGCAAAAGATTTTTTTTAAAGTCCTAACAAACCACAATAGTGACGACAGAGTAACTGCCTGCCGTCTATGTTGCTTTAAAAAAAAAATAAACTCTTTGATCAAATGCAAGGTTATGAAGACTCATTTTGTAACCCTCTGGCCTGCAGCTATTACAATAAAGAAAAAGGTGTAAAAAGACAAGAGAAATTGAAGAGCCATCTTCACCCCTTCAAGTAAGTGACTCCTTTTTCCGTGTTTGCTGGGAGTTGAGAACCGTCCACTGGTCCCTTGAAAAGTAGCAAGGGATCCTGAGGTTTCAAATGGTGCTGTTTTGGCAGAGATAGATCCACATAGGTCCTTGACACATAGTTCAAGCCTCACCAAGGGACCACGCAAGGCTTCTGTAATCCTTTGACGGACAGCCATGCGGAGCTTCCTCTGTAACCCTGCCTGCACACTCTGCTACTCGTAGGAGACCAGGAATGGGTTTTTCTGCATACACTGCCATCTGTGGAAAGTGGCTAAGAGTTACAGACCCTCTTAATTAGGTCAGTGTGTTCTAAAGAGCAGCCTGTTATAGCGTTGAATTCTGAAACTGCAAAGAAATACATGGATATTTTTTAAATAATCCAGAATTTGCATATAAAAAGAGATTTAGCATTTGAACTGCAATGAAGTTTAATCCTTGTATGGGAAAAGCAATAAATAGCTGGGCATGGTGGTGGTGTACACTTGTAATCCAGTGGCTCAGGAGGCTGAGGCAGGAGATTCGCAAGTTCAAAGCCAGCCTCACAACTTAGAGAGGCCCTAAGCAACTTAGTGAGACCCTGTCTCTAGGGAAAAAAAAAAAAGAAGAAGAAGAAGGCTGGGATGTGGTTCAGTGGTTAAGCACCCCTGGGTTCAATCCTGGTACAAAAAAAAAAAAAAAAAAAAGCAAGATAATAAAGATTTTTTTTTAATCAGCTTTCCAGACCTATTTTTAAAACTGTCTAATGCAAGCCATCTGGTTCAATTAACCATTGACTCTATTGGTACTGAGCTACCAGAAATTTAAGCCCCTTGTCCAAAGGGTGTGGCTAGCAGGATCCATTGATTTAACTTGACATTTATCTCAATTGATGCTTACATGTAAATAAGAAAAAAGGTGTTGATGGTATTAAGGTTTAATAAGTTCTGAGTTGATTCTCACTTATTGAGTTTGCCCTCACTATTGCTGATTATATTTTGAAGTTCTCTGTAAAAAGTAAAGTTCATCTATTATTGTATGTATCTAAATGTTGGTGCAAGACTCACAACAATGATCTTATTTTTCATCAAGAAAGTACCCCTCATCATTTAAAAAAAAAAAAATCCCTTCTATTGGAACAGGGAGGCTGCTCAAGAAGTTGACAGCAAACTGCAACTTTTCAAGGAGAACCGTCGGAGGAAGAAGGAGAGGAAGGAGAAGAAACGCCAGAGGAAGGGGGAGGAGTGCAGCCTTCCTGGTCTCACCTGCTTCACCCATGACAACAACCACTGGCAGACGGCCCCATTCTGGAACTGTAAGTTGCTCCTTCTGAATGCCGCTTCCTGCCACCCTGCAGAGAAATGGTATGACCCATACCATAGTTACTTAGTGTAGGGATTCAGCAGCACATTTCCAAGAATCCAGGGAGATTCAAGAGGAAAGCATCACATTATATTTTATACTTGAATTATTTTTTCCAAAAAAACCCAGATTTTTTTTCTTTAGAAAAATTTTTGACATTTTGACCTGATGCACTATAGTTTCACATAGGGGTGGGATTTGTTTTACATATTCATACATCCCCCAGTGGTATTTTTTTTTAATATCAAGCTTCTCTCAGGGTTTTCTTCCTGATGATGTTTCACAGAGTAGCCAGCACCTGGCAGAGTTACCCGATAAGACTGCTCTATAAGTAAATCACAATGAATGCAGGGACAATTCCAGCCCCCAAATTTTGTTTCTACTTTATTTCACATGCATACTGCAAGTGGAATATAGGAAAATAAAAGAAAGGTGAGGGTGCCTTAAACTCTGAGCCAATATCCACTTCATCTCATCCTACTTCAGTGTCAGCATCCTTCTTGTAGAATAGTAAAGACTCCATAAAATTATTTGGCTTTGCATTGATTCCTTAGGATACAGAATTATTATGCACTTTTTAAATTAAAGTTTTTTATTTTCTTTAATGATCTATGTACAATATTTACCTAGGACATGTAGAAATGATACCTTAAGAATTTTGTGGTATGTTCTCCCAGTTGAAGACTTGCCAGCCCATGGAGTAGATAAAAGCTCCCATCTTCCGATTGAGATGATCTCTGGAGACCAGTGGGGCCTGTTTCTCAAACTGGGATTTGGAAATCCCAAGGAATCCACAGACCATCCTTGAGAAGGTTGAAGTCCTAGGCAGCAGGATTTTTGTTTTATCATTTTGTTTTGATGTTTCTCGATTTACATTTGCATGTTTGCATTTACATTCACATTCACATCAAGACCAGATGACTCTGAAAGTTATTGCATTTATCTTAGATAGAATTCCTAAAATGGAGCTGGGGACTCTCTGAGGGTTATTCAGATTGCTGAGGGTCTGTTCTCTGCCCGGCTCTGAGCTACATATCAACAATACAATAACGAACAGGACACCTTGTTCTGTACCTTCTTAATACATTCTAATGGGGGAGAGGGTGAGCAAAGAAAGTAAATGAAATAAGTAAACTAATTACAAGTTGTAATCATGTGATATGGGGAACTGATCAAAAATCTTAAGGGGACTCAGGGTGGGGATGATGGGTATGTTAGTCAGCTTTTCATTGCTGTAACAAAATTCCTGAAATAATCAACTTTTAAAAAGGAAAGGTTTATTTTGAATCACACTTTGGGAGGTTTCAGTCCTTAGCTGGCCTCTGTGGTTTGAGGCCTATGGAAAGACAAGTCGTCATAGTGGGAGCACATCGTGGAAGAAGCTGCTTGCCTTACTGCAGCCAGGAAGCAAAGAGAGAAAAAGGAAAGGGCCAGGGTCCCAATCCTCTGCAAGGGTTTCAATGTCCCCAATGACAAAAGACCTCCCAGCTGTCCCCACTCTTAAAGTTTCACCACCTCCCAATAACACCCGTCTGGGGAAGGATCTTTTAATCCTTGAGCCTTTGGGAAACATCCCAGATCCAAGCTGCAGCAGTGGGGTGACACTGGAGCTGAAACCTAAAGAGTGGAGAAAAGTCACCCAAATGGAAGGGAGCCACATCCCACAGAGGGAACACAGGAGCAGGGGTTCTGAGGAAGTGACAAATTTGGTGCATTCCAGGTTGGAAAGCCCCTCAAAAGAGGGGACATTCAAAACAGGAAGCTTGAGTTGGCTCCTGCGGGAGCAGGCCCTTGTACCTCTCTGTGCTTTCTTGCCTGAGCTGAGGCATCCTGCCCAAACCTCTATTTCCTCACCTGCACCCCTGCCAGGCCTCCTATTTGATCTCCCAGACTCCTCTTGCTCTCACCAATCCATTCCGCACAGAGTCAGAATGATCTCCTAATAACATCCTCTTTTTTCTTAGACTAAAAAGCAAAATCCTTAACATATCCCATGAAGCCTTGCATGCTCCGGTTTAGTCCTACTCTGAAACCATTTTCTCCCTCCCACCCTGGCCTACTTCTCTCTTCCTCAGGCATCCAGAGCCCTCTCCCACCACAGAGCCTCTGCACATATTCTCTCTTCCTAGAACACTCTTGTCCTGATGCCCACCCAAAGTTCTATGACTGTCAAACATCGACTCATCCTTTGAGACCTTAATTGCAAAGTCTCTTCTCATAGACATCGTCCCTGTGCCTCAGACCAGGTTAATCCCCTATCACACACCTAGCCCCCCTTATCCATGGGTTCTGCACCCACAGATTCAACTAACCACACTTGGAATATATTCAGAAAAAAATGCTATCTGTATAAACGTGTACAGACCTGTTTATTTTATTTTTTTCATTATTTTATGAACAATAGAGTATGACAACTATGTACACAGTTGTATTAAGTATTCCAAGAAATCTAGTGATTTAAAGTATACAGCAGGATGTGCACTGTGTGTATGCAAATACTCAGACATTTTCTGTAAGGGATTTGAGCATCTGAAGATTTTGGTATCCTTGGAGGATTCTGGAATCAATCCCATAGGGATGCTGAAAAACAGCTGCACACTCTGGAGTGAGCTTTACTGTGTCTCATTGGACTTATCATATTTGCAATTATACATTATCATTGTCGTTTTTAGATTTTGTTTTCACATTACATTTGTCTTCCCATTGGACTTCCAGTTTCTCAGATAAGATACCGTGTCTATGCAACAATGTCTCCCCTGACATAGAGGAAATGCAGAACCAATGTTAGGTAAATAAATAAGCATACAAGCAGACCTCATCCAAGATCAACTCAGTCCATGTCAATTTAACTAAGCTTTGAGTGCCTGCCGCTGGGTGTCACCGCTAGTGATGTGAGGAACGTAAAAGGGAGTAAGATAGTCTCCTGTCACTTGGCTTTCAGGAACAAAGTGGAGAATAGGCCTCATTCAAACCAAACTTGTGTTTTTTCCAGTGGAAAACATTCTTAGTATTGGTCTTCTGGAACAGCTAGAATTTTTTTTCCACAACAAACCACAGTTTAAAAAAATATATTTTATATTAGAATCCTGTGTACACATGTGAAAACACATATGTGTATCTATGTGTATGTGCTACGTAAATGGTATATATGTGATGTACATAGTGAAATTTAAAATTTGAAGAGGAACATATGTTATATGCTTTGATATATTTTATCTCCTATTTCATATTTTAATGTTCTTATTCCCCTATTCCTTCTATTAGCAGTGCCAACTTGAATCCTTGGCATTGTAGTAGGTACTCAACAGTAACAGCAAAAAAAAAAAAAAAAAGTAATATATATATATATATATATATATATAGAGAGAGAGAGAGGGGATCATGGTCTCTAAACATTTTTGACTATGCACCACTATCAGTTTTTAAAATGAACACACAGTCTATAATTTTACCATACTAACTTGTCCTGTACACTATGAGAATTCACAAAATAAAAATTTTAAAAGAGACAAAAGTAAAGAATCTTTAAAAATTGTTTTCATTTGATCTTTTAAGGGTCCCAAAATATGTGGCTTACACTTATTAAGTACGCTTTTGTTCTTTTTTCAATCTCAATGTCATTCTTTACAATGCAGTGAGCCAAAAGATCATTTTGGAAATGTGGTCTTAGTGACTGCCTTAATTTGAAAAATAACTTGAAAAGATATGCTGACTCAATAGATGTGTATCCTTAGCATGCTGAGTCAATTGGGGTATTTGTTTTTTAAAGTACTACTGTTAACTAAACAGTCTTTTTATTTTATTTCATTTCATTTTATTTGTATGTGTGTGTGTGTGATGTTGGGGATTGAACCCAGGGCATTATGCGTGCGAGGCAAACATTCTACTAATTTTGAGCTATAACCTCAACCCTTAAACAGTCATTTTTATTGAAATTTCACTTATAAATTCTCATCACTCCTGAGATTCATCAATTATTCTTTCAAAGCAATCAGAAGGTATTATATTAGTATATTTTATAAAACAAGCTCAAACCCTATTTAAAATATTGATTTGGATGATTTATACACAGATTAGAAAGTTCTGGTTCCATGGTTTTTAACTTATTTAGATGTAAGCTAAATGCTTAACTAAAAATAATATAAATTATGAATAACATAGCACCTGCTTTCAATGAAAAAAAATCATATAACAATGAAATCATTCTCAATCATCCATTTCTAAGATGTAAAAACATGACAGGATTGAGTGAGGAGAGCATAGAACACAGGATTTTTAGGTCAATGACACTACTGTGTATGAAAATATAATGGCAGATGATTGCCATTATATATGGTCCAAACCCATAGAATGTACAATCACAATAGTGTTGATATGTCAAAGTAGGTTCATCATTTCTAACAAATGAGCCTGTTGTGGGATGTCAGTACTGGGGGAGGTTGTACATCCATGGGGATATATGAGAACACTCTGACATTCCTCTCAAATTTTCTGTGAACCTGCTACACCAAAAAATAAAATCTATTGATTTTTTTTTTAGAACAATCAGTTTTCACTTATTGTTTAAAATATCCCTTTTCACTTAAATGGACAGATTTAGTGCATCTTATACTACAAAGGACAATAGAGTCTAGCAGTTAAGAATAAGCCTGTAGTCAGACCCCCACATTGCCAATTGTCAACTATTCAACCTGGACAAATTACTTAACTTCTCTGTGCCTTGGTTTTCTCATGGGCAAAATGAGGATGATAATAATAAACTGTCCCCAAAGGTTAATTTGTGAATTCAGTGAGCTAATACATGTAAAACGTATAATGTACAAGGAATATTTGCCTATCCTAATAAGTATGCCTATTCTAATTGTTTTGAAAATATTTGCTAGGCACTATGTTCCTGAAACTCGATTACCATTGACAGGAAGGTCAGCAAAGTTGTACCCTTTGCCTTTTTGGAAATAAGAGTGGATGATTTGTTTTTAAATTTGATAATCTCTTTTCAATACTTTGTACCAGGCAATTTCTGCATGGTACAAAAGATGTTCGGATCAAAGCCAATCACATATTAAAATGAGTCTACAATGATTTCAAATGACATCATCCCAGAATCCACCAACCTGGGTTCAAGCCTTCTCCAAAACCTTGCACATTGCAGAACCCTGTCTTTCCATTGACCATTTTTCCCACTGGCCACGTAACCTAGAGAACAGGCAATAGCACCAGTTCCATTTCTTTCCTTTTTCAAAAAAGGTAAAAAACAACCATCAGGAAATGTTCTGATAATTTTTTCCCAATCTGCATTCACCCCAGTTTGGAGACTTCTAACAGAACTAAGGGGAGAATCAGGCTGAAACTCCACTTGACCTTCACCCTCTACAAACCCACCATCTTGTTTTCCACTTTCATGGAGTTTCACAGCAAATTTGCATAGAATGGGAGGAAGTATAAGAAAGAACACTTGATGCTTCCAGTGTAGAGAACGTAGGTGACTGGTTTTTCATTCTTTTTTGTGTTGTTTTTTTTTTCCTATCCAACAGTGGGATCTTTCTGCGCTTGTACCAGTTCTAACAATAACACCTACTGGTGTTTACGGACAGTGAATGAGACACATAATTTTCTTTTCTGTGAGTTCGCCACTGGCTTTCTGGAGTACTTCGATATGAATACAGATCCTTATCAGGTACGATAATATGTTTTCACTTTAGAAAGATTGTTGGAAAGAGAACAACCAGGACATGAACTTCAATCTGTCCTTCTACCTCTTCCTCCCCAGCTCACAAACACCGTGCACACAGTAGAACGGGGCATTTTGAACCAGCTACATGTACAGCTAATGGAGCTCCGCAGCTGTCAAGGGTATAAACAGTGCAACCCAAGACCGAAGGGCCTGGAAATTGGTAAGGACAAGAATCTTGTGTTTTTCTGTATTGCCTAGAAATCTCTTTGTGTGACCAAGTTTTCTGTCTATGAAATATCTACATGCATAAAAACATATAGTTCTAGATATGTAGGGAAATTTCTAGGCAATTCCAAACATAATTTGGTCTATAAGTTTAGCTCTGGGTGAATAGTCAAAAAACTAGCCATCAAAAGATTTGGTGAAGGTGGGCACGGTTGCACATGCCTATAATCCCAGCAGTTTGGGAGGCTGAGGCAGGGGGATCATGAGTTCAAAGCCAGCCTCAGCAACAGTGAAGCCCTAAGCATCTCAGTGAGACCCTGTCTCTAAATAAAATAAAAAATAGGGCTTGGGATGTGGCTCAGTGGTTGAGTGCCCCTGAGTTCAATCCCTGGGACACCCCCTCGCACACACACAAAAAAAGTTTAGGTGATTTGGTGAGTGTTTTCTTCCAATCTCTCCCTCAAGTCTATGTGATTAGTAA